TCACTTGCCATTGGCAGCTGATATCTACTGAATACTTACTACAGGCTGAGTACCGTGACAAGCGCTTCACTTGTATTATTCCATTTAATCCTTACAAGGACCCTGTGAAATAGGCACTGTTGTCTCCATTGTAATGAAAAGGGAAACAGGCTTAAATAACTGACCGAAGATCATGCAGCTCCTGAATGGTACACCTGGGTCTTGAACTCCCACCGTTCTGCCCCCAGGTGCATGCACTCAGCCCCACGTCAGGTTGAACTTACTCTGCCTTCACATTTTGGCTGGGGCCTGTGCTTGGGTTCCTCGCTCGGCCTGGGCTATCGCCTCTCTTCTCCATGTGCCTGCATCCTTGCTATCCCTGCTCCACGGGCCTTTCATCCACGAGCCTTCCCATCCTACCCTCTGTGGTGAGCCATTTTCCCCTCTGCAGCCCCGTGCATTCTGATTTAAAGCAGTATTAGCTGGGCAGGAGACTGTCCTCCGAGAGGGTCTGTGAGCTCTTTTAAGGCAAAGACTATGATCCATTCATTAAAAAAAAATTTTAAATCACTTTATTTTTTTAAATTGAATAATTGTACATATTCAATAATAATTGTACATGTTCATGGAGATACATGATGATGTTTCAATACATATAATAGTGAATAAATGAGAGTAACTGGCATATTCATTGTCTAAATATTTATCATCTCTTGAAGTTGGGAACATTTACCGTCCTATTTGAAACTACGTGTTACTGTTAACTATAGCCATCCTACAGTGACGTAGGATATTAGAACTGATTTTTCCAACCTGATGTGATTTTGTATCCTTTAACAAACCTCTCCCTAGCTCTCTCCTCTAAAATCAGCATCCCGGTCCCAACTCACAATTGGTGTTCAGTGGCTCTTTCTTAGGCATCTTGGGATGAAAGCTGTGATGACGTTATTATTAATAAGGAAATAGCCACAAGGGGGCAGTACCAACGGGCCTTAGAATGGATTGCCCTCCCTGCTCAGCCTGGGAGAAGCGTGTTCCGCTCCTTCTAGCTCACAGGACGGCCCTGAGGGGCAGAGGAACCAAGGTCTAATATAATTAAGGGTGCACAGCCAAACGGTAAACAGCAATGGGAAGCAAGGGAGGATAATTGGAGGACAGTTAGAAAAAAAACCCCCAATTTTCTGGAAGCTCCTGAAAACTTTTGGAGTTTGAAAAACGTTTAGATGAAATATGGAGTATCGTTTTTCCTGCAGTGTTATCTGGTCTTCTTCATACACATTTCATCTTTGGTTCCCTAAACATAATTTTGTTAGCAGACCAAGAAACACATAACACACTCTGTTATTGAGGAAAACTCACATTTAGGTCCACGAAGAGGGCTACAAATAACGAATGCTATTCTCCTCACATTCTCGGTTGTCTTTCTCCGCGGCCTCCTAATTCTTGTTTAGGGAGATGGTACGTTATGTTTTCACTTATTTGTTATTGCTGTTTTGTCTGCCTTTTTTTTAGCTAAAAAGGAGTGGAAAATCATAAACGTTTTTGAGATATGTCATTTTTGTAGCCCTATTGGAACCTGTAACTAATTCTGGCAAAAGATGGAGCAAGCCTGGGGTGGAAAAAAATGGGGAAGGGTCACAGAATATTGACAGGCCTTATGAGCCTGTGCCCAGAAATTCATGGGATTCCAGCCCGGGCACAGTGGCTCACGCCTGCAATCCCAGAACTTTGGGAGGCCTCGGTGGGCAGATCGCCTGAGCCCAGTACTTCAAGACCAGCCTGACCAATGTGTCAAAACCCTGTCTCTACTAAAAATACAAAAATTAGCCAGGTGTGGTGGTGGGTGCCTGTAATCCCAGCTACTCTGGAGGCTGAGGCAGGAGAATCATTTGAATCCAGGAAGCAGAGGTTGCAGTGAGCTGCGATTGCCCCACTGCACTCCAGCCTGGGTGGTAGAGCCAGACTCTGTCTCAAAAAAAATAAATAAATAAGAAAAATTCATGGATTCACCTATATTGAGGGATGGAAAATAAAAGGATTTTGAGAAGTCTTTCTGAGGGTAAGACTTTTCAGGGGACCTTTTAGGAAGGCCTGGAATAGCTTCGTGAATGAAGAGATACTTCAGTAAGACCCCATGGAAGGCTTGACATGTGTCCCTGAAGCTGAGGGGCACCATGGACAGCTGTGTGATGCCTACCTGGAAAATTCCAAGGCAGGAGAGAGTGTTTTTCTCACTGCGTCAGTGCTAAGAGTGAAGGGCAGGCTGCCTCTGCCCTGGACTTGGGCTTCATTCCCGGGGTTTGCCGGGGCCAGGATTTTCTGAATGTTCCCCAGAGACCGGGCATGAGCCACAGGTGAGATTGGGGGTGACTTAAGCCCTGTCCAGCAGAGCCACCTGGAGAGGTAATAGGACCTGGTGGAAAGAAGCTGCCGGTCTTCCCATGGGGCTGGAAAAGGAGGAGGCAAAAGGCCTCCAAGGAAGATGGGCTTGCGGGGCCCTGGGTATTGCACGATGATGGCTCTGCAGGGTCTCAAGAAGCCTCTAATGGGAGAGTCCATTTTAGGCAGTTACGAAGCCCAGGAGCACAAATCAACTTATAATGGGACTTGTCAGGTGACAGCGTCCCTACTCACACCTTTCCTCTCAGCCTCTCTCTGTAGCCGCAAAGGGCCAGAAGCAAAGTCAGCACGCTGGGGAAGAGGTATCTGGAAAGAGAGCAGAAACCGACCGTGGCCATGCCTCCCCATCCCAGCAGGCCCCAGCGAGAGGTGGAAGAGGAAGTCTTCCTTTTGAATGAAGACCAAAGTGTAGGCTGGGCGCTGTGGCTCACGCCTGTAATCCCAGCACTCTGGGAGGCTGAGGTGGGCGGAAAGATCATGAGGTCAGAAGATCAAGACCATCCTGGCCAACGTGGTGAAACCCCGTCTCTATTAAAAATACAAGAATTAGCCGGGCGTGGTGGCACACGCCTGTGGTCCCAGCTACTAGGGAGGCTGAGGTGGAAGAATCGCTTGAACCCAGGAGGCAAAGGTTGCAGTGAGCTGAGATTGCACCACTTCACTCCAGCCTGGCGACAGAGCAGGACTCCGTCTCAAAAACAACAACAACAAAGTGTAGAGTATGCTGTTGGCTGGCATGATAATTTCTGAATTGTGGCTGTGTTTTGCCTCTTGAGTGACCATATGGCTTTGCCTTAGCTGTGAGTGTCCAGAACCTAGAGACAGCCTGAGTATTCACCAGGGACACTGGTTTCACTGAGCAAATCTGCAGAGAGTAGTGAGATGCAAAAATGAAATGGCCTTGAAGTAACGTCTCATCAGCTGTGTGTGCTCCACTTGCTAGACTTGTCTTCCACATGAAAGAATGAAGGAAGCATGAAAACATCTTAACAGCAACGATCATGGGGTGGTGGGATGATGGGGGGGAGATTATTTTTTAATTTCTTGGGTGTTATAAATGTTCTACCATGATCATATTTTAATTTGATAATCTTAAGAAAATGAAAATAAACAATATTCTTTAAAATGGATGAAGAACCTAAGATTATGTAGGTAAAAATAATTTCTGGCTCAGGTCCTGCTCGCCTGTGGGGTGGAGAGGGGGCTAGAGGCACAGGCCTGACCCAGGTGTGAGAAGACAGAGGGTGATGTGAGGAGAAAGTCACCTGCCCCTCACAATACTCCCTCAGCCCAGAAACTCTTACCTGACGCCCAGGCCTAAAATTCCTCAGTGTCCATCTGCCAGTTCTGTACTCTGGACAGTTCTTTATAACTCACTGCCCTTACCACATTCCCACAGGGACTTCCTGGGGACGGAGTCTAGGTATAAGGGTTGACAATGGCATGTGAAGCTTATCTGCCCCGCCTTCACTTCGTAAGCTGGGTCTTCAATGAGAATTAACAGAAGAATTTCAGGTCATCAGATGGGCGCTATGCCCTACAGAAGAGTTTCTCAACCTCGGCACCATTGATACATGGGGCCGAGTAATTATTTGTTGTAGGGGGATGTCCTGTGATTGTAGGATGTTCAGCATCATCCCTAGCCCCTACCCATCACCCACCACACAGCCTCCCAACCAAAACCCAGCACCCATACACAGCCTCCCAGCCCACCACCCACCACCCACACACAGCCTCCCAGCCCCCACCCACCACACAGCCTCCCCACCTGACACACACCGCCTGCACATAGCCTCCCCACCTGACACACACCACCCGCACACAGCCTCGCCCTCCACCTACCACACACACACAGCCTCCCCCACACCTGCCACACAGCCTCCCCACCCACCACCCACACACAGCCTCTCAGCTGCCACCCACCACCAACTGCTTCTTGTTGGTTCATTTAGGGGACATGAATGGTCAGGAAAAGACTGTGAAATCTCTTGGGATCCCCCTCAGAAAATAGAGGAGGCCAGTTCTTGTGTGCTTTAGAAGAATTCAGATTCTCCGGAGAGGCACTCCCTGGTGTCAGGGCTGTGCTGTGAACTACACATGCAGACTTCTCTTTTTGTTTGTTTTGAGAAAAAGTCTTGCTCTGTCGCCCAGGCTGGAGCGCAGTGGCAAAATCTCAGCTTACTGCAACCTCTGCCTCCTGGGTTCAAGCCATTCTTCTGCTTCAGCCCCATTGGTAGCTGGGATTACAGGGTGAGCCACCATGCCTGGCTAATTTTTGTCTTTTTAGTAGAGATGGAGTTTCGCCATGTGGCCCAGGCTGGTCGTGAACTCCTGACCTCAAGTGATCTGCCCAATTCGGCCTCCCAAAGTGCTGGGACTACAGGCATCAGCCACCACACCTGGCCTATTTTGCTGTAATTATTTATTTAGTGTTTGTCTTCCTTGCCAGTCTATAAGCCCATATATAATTTTCACAGTGATATTCTGAGGGCACCCAGTGGTTTCTGACACATAGTAGGATGTTAGAAATATTAACTGCATAAATAATACAGGAATGAAGTGCAGAGGCCGAAGGACCAGGCAGCTCTTCCAAGAGAACATAGATTTATTTGGAACCCAGCATTGCTAGACTGAAGGCACATTGGGGTCACCCCCAGAGGTGGCCCGAGATGGGTATGAGAGTGGGGGTGGCCATGGGAGGAACATGGCAGGGAGAGGACAGGGCTGATGACGAGAAGCTCAGGAAGAGGCCAGTGTGAAGGGAGGGAGGAAACTCGGGAGGATGTGGGATCCTCATGACTTAAACTCTTGAGTTGTCTTCTTTCTTTTTATTTAACCTATAAAAAGATGGCTTAATTGATAGTCTCCCTCAGTCCAAATGTCCTGCCACCCCAGTCATCCTACTAGCTAGGTGCTTCAACATGAGACCCACCTGGGGTGTGTATTAAGCATGTAGACTCCTGGGCCCCACCTGGCATCGTCAGAATATCTGGGAGTGGGACTTGGAGATCTACATCTTAACAAGCTCGTGGGTGTTTTTTTTTTTTTGTAATGCAAATTGATGAGAGCATGGGGACTGCGTCTGTCTTATTCACATGTGTATCCCAAAAACCCAGCCCAGTGCAGAGCAGGAATGAGGAACCCAGAATTTCTTGATGGGTGAATAAATGAATGAATGAATTTCATAGTCACAGAAATGCGTATATTTGGTTTTCCCTGAGGCTAAAGGAAGAGGGATGCTGCCTCCCTATGGTCTTCCATTGCTTTCTTCACCCTCTGGGTCCAATTTCCCCATTGGCAGCAAGGGCAGCTGGACTGAGTGAGCCACAGGACTTCTTCCCACCTTAATAAGCGACAGCAGCACGACTCTGTGCTTTCCGTTTCTTTTTGCCTGCCTTCCTGCAAGGGGGGGGCAGAATCAAGATGAAAATCAACCACAACCCGGAGATTTGTTGTCAGTTTTAATAGGAGGAGTGGAGTCAAAGAGTTTAGAGAAATGTAGAAAAAGACCTTTTACTTTTTGCTGGAACATGATATGGTTTGTGCATGGCACATACATATTAAAAAAATAGAAGTTTCACATTTGACAAGCACATGACTGCACAGCATCTGGGTTGCATTATCTGCTGTGCCTAAGCTGGAGGACAGCTCTACCCTGGGACCAGCCTGAGGTACTTAGTGATTATAGAAAGAGGAAACCATGCAGAACACGTCTCCCTGATGCTGAAATTTCAGTTCAATGAGGTATACGAACGTGGTTCTGCTTTGGCTGTCTGCATGATGGGCTAGATTCAGGACCCGTTTGGGGCTTAATGACATCCTCCTCCTGTTGTGGGAAGAGGAAGCATCAGTCAGATGTAAGCAGAGCCTGGAGTATCTCTCTCTATTCTTCTGGCCTTGTCCCAAACATTCCTCTCTTGGTATTTTTCTGGAAGGTAGCAGAATGAGTGGCTGATTCCTTCAGGGGAGGAGCAAGTATTAGAGACCCACTTTACAGACACAGGTGTGGAAAGTGGCAGAGAATACCTCCTAAGTGATAGCTGACCCAGGGTCTTTGAGGAAAAACATTGGGATAGAAGGACAAAGGAGTTTTCTAGCTTGTGTCCCCTTGAAAGTGGGCAGAAGGAGATAGAGGGCAGAGAGGAAATCCTGCAGGATGTTTGTAGATGTGCATTTGGTAGACATGTTTGTATCAGTGACTGTGGCACACAATGGGCAAAGGCTGCGGGCGTCAACACGGGGAGGAAGGAGAATGGACTCTCTTGTTTCTTTCTTCTCTCAGGACCTGCATAGAACAAGAACTTGAAGGGTCTGAGGTCCAGGACAAGAAAGTGGCCCAGAACCAGCGTCGAAGGAGAACTGTAAACTGCGCAGGACAGGACGAGGGTCAGGAGAGAATTTCAGGCCTGGGTTTCTGGGCAGGAGAGATACCTCTATGTCTAAAGAGGAGAGGGGTTTGTACCCGGAGTCAGATGGCAGAAGAAAATGTTGTCTTTGTTAGGCCATAGACCGGCCCTGACCAAGGGCTTGGCACGGGTGTCAGGGCACTGTGGGATGTGGCCGCGGAGGGGAAGGCTGCGGAGGATGATGGTAGGGTATTAATTACAAAATTGCATGCTGCTTTCAGAGAGGTTCAAACATGTATGGGAAGTGGGAAGGGAAGGGTGTTAGAAGGCAGTGCCTGATGAAGCAAACATAATCAACAGCTGGAACAAGGCATTTGGAGTTTCCTGGTTTCCTATGAGGTCCATCTACTGCCCTGAAAAGGGTGGACATTTTACAAGGAGCCTGGGGCTCCCCCATGGCTTCTAAGCTAACCTCTTCAGCTGCAGCTGAGAGGTGCATCTCATAGTGTGTGCAGATATGCTGCTCTCCTCTTTATTATTTTCTCTTGAAGAGAGAATAAAACAGCCTCTTTGCCCTCGGAACTCCAAGTTTGCATGGGGCTGCCAAAGAAGGTTCAGGATGAAAGGGAGGTGAACTGGCTACAAAGCTCTGTAAACCAGGCTCCTTGCTCAGCACTCGGGGAATGGAAGAGCCAAGTCTTAGTCATCTTCAGTGGGAAAGTGGGGCTCTCTGGTTGCCCTGCATATAGCAATGTCTTCTGCAGCCTTTGGGATCCAATGGGCCTGACAACCGAGTTCAGCACTCAGTGGACATGTGACCAGATAGGAAACAACTCTTCATGCCAGGGCACAGATACAGAAGCCAGAGAGAAGGGACTGAAATGCATCCTGCTGATCTTACTCTGGTCCTGTCTCTTAATCCACTTCTGTGGATGGGGATTGGCATTTCCTTCCTTCCTTCCTTCCTTCCTTCCTTCCTTCCTTCCTTCCTTCCTTCCTTCCTTCCTTCCTTCCTTCCCTCCTTCTTTCCTTCCTTTTTTTTTTTTTTTTTTTGAATAGAGACGAGGTTTCACCATGTTGCCCAGGCTGGTCTCAAACTCCTGAGCTCAGGCAATCTACCCGCCTCGGCCTCCAAAAGGCTGGGATTACAGGTGTAAGCCACCGCACCCAGCCAAGGATTGACTTTTCTTAAGCCTAAAGTCACTTATAGGAAAACAGAAAGCCCTTGAGAGAATTTCTTCGCATGGGAAGGATTTTAAGGAGTCACCCACACATCCCTGCATCTAAAGGTGGTATTCAAAGTACTTAGCAACCAGATGGGCATGGTGGCTCATGCCTGTAATCCCAACAGTTTGGGAGTCTGAGGAGGGCAGATAGCTTGAGCTCAGTTCAAAATCAGCCTGGCCAACATGGCAAAACACTGTCTCTACCAAAAAAAAAAGAAAAAGAAAATTAGCTGGGCATGGTGGTGCACACCTGTAGTGCCAACTGCTCAGGAGGCTGAGGAAGGAAAATCACTTGAGCCCAGGAGGTGGAGGTTGCAGTGAGCTGAGATCACACCACTGTGCTCCAGCCTGGGTGACAGAGCAAGACCCTGTCACAAACAACCAACCTCCAAATATTTAGCAACTGATATAGCATGGGCCCTGGTACCAGTTAGACAGACACCCAGCCCCTCATAACCGGTGCTGGTGCAACTGCTATGCAGTGGCTGAATAGCATGCCTGCTTGATTGTAGGCATTTCTTAGCTTCTCCTTCTCATTCCTGGCATGAAAATGAAAGTGGACATTTGGGGAAACACCTTGCCAGGATTTGAGCAATGTTATGCTTCTCTAGAGAGATGAAGGAAAGGGCTGGCAGTCCAAGGCTTTGAGGATTCTCTCGAAGATGGCTCCTCTCATGCCATGTGAGCTGAAAGATCTTGGAAGAAGGGAACCTATGTTATGGGACCTAAAACTCCTTTTTTCTCTGGATCATAGTCACGCCATCCTCCAGCCATTCCACACTCCAAGCTCCACTGGGAACTGATACGTACCTCAGGTTCGGGGTGCCTGCATTCCTGATGGACCCTGTTCAAGAGACTGATTGCACTGAACAAGACTCCCTAAAAACCAGTCAGCTTAATCCCTGCCTCCAAGCAGACCTGCACTTCAATATTCCAAAGAGTCACGATGGACTAGTTTTCTCCCTTTTCTACCACATCCGAGGCTCGGCCACACACACACGTGCTTCAGGGTTTCTACTGTCTCTTCCATCTTCACGTACCTTGGTGTGGCTTTTTCCTCCTCACCCAGCACATGTCGTTTCTGACATCTGCAGGGCAGAGGAGGTGGCCGGTGAGGTGTCTCTCCCTTCGATTACCGACCTCCATCTTCAGCTCAGAATTCCTCTGCCCGGATCCACCTACAGATGGATGCAACTGCAAATAGTAAGGTATGTTGAAGATGAAGGTATTCGCAACAGATGAGGATTGTCTTGCAGGCCGGGGCCCCCGGGAGTCGCAGAGGGTGTCAGGTCATTTTGTAACTCGATGGTTCATATATGCCAAAAATATTTGCACTCTGATAGGGCTCTCTCTGGTTTCAGATTTAGGAACATTCCAATGGTTTGGGAATCTGAAGGCTCCAGGCAGACAACATTTATAGTCAGCTGGGGAACCTCTGCTTTAAATCATCTTAGGGACAGAAGGCAAGAAGGCATCGTGCGGCAAGGAGCTGCTTCAGCTTGGCTTCTTGACTTCATGGGATTATCGCTCCTCTTCTACTGCAGGGAGGAAGAGCGCACAAACCCTGGAGGTCACTGTGCCCATTTTGCTGCATCCAGGCACAGCGTGTATGTGAGATGACGATGAGCAAGAAGGAAGTGAGGGTATCAGATAAGAACTTGGGTGCATTTCCTGGACATAGTTGGAGAGGAATTACCATCTGTAGTCCAAAGCCTCTCTACTTCCTTCATGCCCTATTTTGTCCTCATCCCTCGCCAAAGAGGTTGCCATTATTAGGATCCTTGTCATCTGTGGTTAAAATAAGACCAGTTCAAAGTGAGGAAACATTATGGGCAGGCAGCCTGGCCCTGCTTGTTCTTGGAGCCACATACAGCCTGAGTTCTCCAGGCAGAGTGGCTCTCCTAGAACATCCAGTGCCTTCTGCTGCCTCCACAAGCCTTCCCCAGCTGCCCTGGACGCTGCTCTACCCCTTTCCTCCAAGAAGGAAACAGCTTCCCCCCAGCTTCCCTGACAATTCATCCCAGTATCCCCAGAGCCCTCACTGGCAGGAATCTTGAAGTGCCTGATCACTTTCTTTCGGGTTTGCAATACAATCTTACACCTCTCACCCTGCTGTCTCTGCACTTTGAGGATGGCTGCTCCCTGCTGGCCTGTGCAACTCACGTGGTCAGCAGCCTCTGAAAGGAAAGATGATTGGAACAAGGCAGAATGGGAGCGCACATCAATCATACTGGTTTGACAAGTGACATTTGTACAGGCAGATTCCTGCAGTGATGATGCTGGGAGAGAGAAACTCGATGCTTTGAAATGCCTCTGCTCTGAGAATATATAGAACGCTGTATAGATATACAACAATGCACACAAGCCCCTACCCTGGCCTTTTCCTTTGCACATGGTCACATTCCTCAAGTGTCACCGATACTTCTCTCCTCCAGGGAGGTCAGAGCATGGGATCCATTGCCATTCTAAGGTGCTGATTGCAACCCTCACTTGAATGGGCTACATGCCATGGGGTCCAGCAGCCAAGGGCAACAACTGGGGTCTCCCCAAGTGCAAAATAAGCCTGACTCAGAAGCCATGGAGGGCAAGGGGAATTATCTGCTTGTGCAAAATTCCAGTAGGACACTTGCTGCTTTAGATCTGTGAGCCTTCTTTTGTGGGTCCTTACATCCTGGGAAGGAAATGAGTGACAGTCATGATCAGGGACACCTTGCTGCCCCGCTTTGCCCGTCCGTATTTGCTCAGGGCGATGTAGGTCCCTCGGTACAAGTCTGACTCGTAGGCGTTGTAATTGTTGGGCAGGAGGGTTTCTCTGAACTTGCATTCTTCTTGGAAGCTGGGCTGTGAAAGACATGGGCAAAAAGCAGGGACTGGGTTACAAATGAGGAGTGCTGCAGATGCCAGCTGGGCTGCATAGAGTAGGCCCCTCTGCTGGGTGCCCCTTCCTTTCCCACTGTGAGGTCTGAGCATCCTGGGTGAACAGAATGGTGGGCGGTTAGGATGGGAAGAGGCTGCAGACTCTCATGGTTTCCTCTCACCTTCTTCCCTCTTTTACTAGAAGGCCCAGGGACACGGGGATGGTCTGTGCCACGTGGGACAGAGCTGAGGCCCTGCCACTCGGGTCTCCTGACTTCCAGATAACTTTCTACTAAGTCCCTAGATGGTAACTTATTCCATTCAAAGAACAGACCAGGAAATGATACAATACGCTGTTTTCTCAAGTGCACGGTGAGAGGGAGTCTACTGGAGCAGGAATGAGAGCCCAGGGTGCTATTTCGTGACTTTTCTACTTCCCAGTTTTGTGACCTTGGGCAGGCTCCTCCCCTTTCAGCCTCATTCTCTTTTCTGCAAACTGTGTGTGTTGTGGGAAGGAGAGAGGTGGTTGGTGAGGGGGAGGAGACACAGACGCTCTCTTAAGCCCTTTCCAGCGCTGTCTCTCTTTCTTTCCATCTGTGGTTCCTCAGTCCACCTTTCTTGGTTTAAGTCCCAAGTTTTCTATCCCTCAAATAGGCCCATTCTCAGATTTGACTTTAAGCCTAGATGTCTGGTACTTCCTAGACCAGGGGTTCCCAACCCCCAGGCTGCAGACCCATACCAGCCAGTGGCCCATGCCAGTGCAGGAACCGGGCTGCACAGCAGGAGGTGAGCGGTGGCTGGGCGAAGCTTCATCTGTTTTATCCCCACTCCCCACCGCTTGCATTACCACCTGAGTCCATCGCCTGTCAGATCAGCAGAGGCATGAGATTCTCAGCAAGAACCCTGTTGGGAGCTTTGCATGTGAGGGATCTGGGTTGCATGATCCTTATGAGAATAGAATGCCTGGTGACCTGAGGTAGAACAATTTTGTCCCAGTACCGTCCCTCCATCCCCCACCCTGTCCATGGAAATAGTCTTCCATGAAACTGGTCCCTGGTGCCAAAAAGGTTGGGAACTTCTGTCCTAGACAATCCTAGTTCTCTAGGGATATGCAGGAACAGAGATGGTGAGGAGCAGGGATTTTTACTGGGAAAAAGACCTGGTTCCCAATATGATAGTGACACCAAGGAGACTGGGACCAACAAAAAATGGCCCTTTCCATGCTAATGTGATAGAGGAGTGTGTGTGGACCACTGTTCAGAACATGAACACTGAACTTCCTGCCTCACATGCACAAGTTCATTCCTAGTACATGACCCCCAAGTCCTCCTTCTCTCCTAGAAAAGAAGGCTCTTTCATCTGCAACCCGCCTGGGTGGGTGGCTGCCCTGAAGGAGTGTGCAGGTATTCCCTGTTCCTGTGGGGGTGGGAGCTAGAAGAACAGAGCCAGGTGGGAGCCAGAGACCTGGGATCTACTCTTTTTTTCTTCTTTTATGAGATGGAGTCTTGCTCTGTCACCCAGGCTGGAGTGCAGTGGCATGATATCAGCTCACTGCAACCTCTGCTTCCCAGGTTGAAGCACTTCTCCTGCCTTAGCCTTCCAAGTAGCTAAAACTAAAGGCATGCACCATCATGCCCAGTTAATTTTTGTATTTTTAGTAGAGACAGGGTTTAGCCATGTTGGTCAGGATGGGGTTGATCTTTTGACTTCATGATTCACCTGCCTCAGCCTCCCAAAGTGCTGGGATTACGGGCATGGGCCACCATGCCTGGCCCCAGGATCTACTCTTAAAAAGAACTATAGAATGAGAAATGGGTGGAGGATAACTTCTGACTCCTTCTTGCTCAGGCATTAAAAAAACCCCACTCAATGGCTGCTGGGCTGTGCCAGCGGTGTTCTCTGACCTGTGAAGGAATCGTACCTGGACGGCAATGTCGGTAGATGAGAAGCTCTTGGCTCTTGCTCTTCAGAAGGGCTGGTAAGTAGCCTGCCTCTCAGGGGCCCCAGACTCCCAGAGCCCTTTTGGTGGACCTCTCTGGCAACATTTTGAACAGCCATACTTTCTTTCCCAATAGACTACAAGATCCCCGAGATGAGGACTGTGTCTTGCATGGTACATGATGCTGAGTCAGTGCTGGTTTAATAAGGACAACATGGGTTTGGTGGCTCACACCCGTAATCCCAGTACTTTGGGAGGCCAAGACAGGAGGATCACTTGAGCCCAGGAGTTTGAGAGGAACCTAGGCAACATAGCAAAATTTTGTCTCTACAAAAACTTAAATTAAAAAAAAAAGCCAGGCATGGTGGCGCATGCATGTGGTCCCAGCTACTCTGGAGGCTGAGGTGGGAGAATCACTTGAGGTCAAGGCTGCAGTGAGCCACGATTGCTCCACCGCACTCCAGCCTGGGCGACAGAGTGAGATCCTGCCTCAAGAATAAACAAATAAGTAAATAAGGACAACACTGAAACATAAGAGGATCCCTGCATGGGGGGCTCTTTCAATGTGATGTGGGAGTGGGTGAGGGGACAGCCTTGCCTATGGGAACACAGTGAAACTCCCCCTCATACGTTTTCCCTATGTTTTTCTCTCCCGCTTGCAGCTTATTTACAAAGCACTTTTACTGATATTAACTTGCTTGAGATAAACGTGAAGACATTCACCAGCCATATCAACTGGTTAATGCCACATGAGGGGGATGGGTTTTCGTAAGCTTTCCTGTTCTCCTCGTTAGGGATGCTCAGTACGTATTTGCCAAATGGGTGAATGAAGGGACGCCCATTTTGGTAAACAAGGATGAACTAATCAACATCGTGGCACAATATGTGTTTTTTTTTGTGCCACAGCTTTCAAGTTAGACTGATGACAGTAGCCTCTTACTTAGCTATGTGAGCTTTGGCAAATCATTTAACCTCCAAAGTTGACTGTTCCCTCCTCTGCGAAGTAGGAACAGTAAGAAAAACTATGTCGTAGAACTGGAATAAGCATTAATTGAAATAATGCGTGGAAAGTCCTGGGAACAATGCTTGCTATATAGTAAAATTTAAAAAAAATCATTATTAGTATTCTTCTCTAAGTAAATCATGAGCGACTTTACATTAAAAACCTTAAAAGACTGCCTTACCCTGGATCACCAGTCCCATAAGACTTGCTGTGGGTTACTGGACAATTTAGCTTTTAAGCTCTGCAGTTTTTGACCTTGGTGGCTGGGAGACAGTGAGCTGACCTGGAAGAGCAGGAAGCGAGAGTAAGGTCAGAGGCTGATGCTGGCTCTGAACCACGTGCCCTCAGCAGGAGCTTCTCTGGACCCTGGTTTTCTGCACTGTGCACAGGGAGTAGACTCAGTCCCAGTACTTCGACTGTTGATGGGCAAGCCTGGGAGCAGCAGCACCAGCAGAAATTCAGCTCAGAACTCATGAAACATTCCAAGTAAAGCTACACTAATGAGAAGTCTCGTAGAGGTAAATGAACAAGAGAGAATCTGGCAGTAGATCCTGACACATAAAACATGGATGTAAAATAAAGGGAATCCAAATAATTATAAAGTAAAAGTGGTACTTTAAATAACTAGAGAAAACATGATGTTGGAACAACTGAATGATATTTTATTATAATAATAAAAGTTTGATGTGTATGACTTTATCCCTTACATCAAAATCAATTCCAAAAGGAGCAAAGGTTTAAATGTAAAAAAGAGTAACATTAAAATCAAGAAAAAAATTTTTAAGGGTACCCCTGAAATAGAATTTTTTTTTTTTTTTTTGAGACGGAGTTTCGCTCTTGTTACCCAGGCTGGAGTGCAATGGCGTGATCTCGGCTCACCGCAACCTCCGCCCCCTGGGTTCAGGCAATTCTCCTGCCTCAGCCTCCTGAGTAGCTGGGATTACAGGCACGCACCACCGTGCCCAGCTAATTTTTTGTAATTTTTAGTAGAGACAGGGTTTCACCATGTTGACCAGGATGGTCTCGATCTGTTGACCTCATGATCCACCCGCCTCGGCCTCCCAAAGTGCTGGGATTACAGGCGTGAGCCACCGTGCCCGGCCAGAAAAAAAATTTTTTTAAATAAACTCAGAATCAGGAATATCTTTCTAAGCAGGACACAACAAAATTTAATTTAATTAAAGCCATTAAAAAAAACTAATAAACTGGTCTTCTATTTGAAAATTACCTAAAATAAGAACAGAAATGGCAAACTGGATAAAAATCCTTACAATACACTTATGTCAAAGAGCACATTTTGTTACTATATTCAGACCCCTAAACTCACTGGAGAATGAACAATGTTTATAAAACAGAAAATTCTCAGGAAAGGAAATATAAATAGCATTTGAGCAGGAGAGAATATGTCTAATAAGAGAAATGTAAATTATAACTGTGCATCACATTTTTAGTGGCCAGATTGCAAAGAGAAAAACATCTGACACTAGGCTCTCATTAGTGAGGGCATAGAAACGAGAAATTCTCATTTAATGTCCTCTGATGTGTGTACTATTATGATGTCTATAAAGAACAATTTGGCAACATCTACCAGAATAAAGGATGAATATAGCAACTGATCAGCAATTCCACTTTTAGAAATTTCTTACTGATATATTCTCACACGTGCACCAAAGTTACTACAGCATTAAATAACAAAAGACCGAAAACAATGTATCTATTGAGAGGAGTAACTGACTCAATTATGGTAGATCCACATGATGGAAGTCTGTAAGCCTTGAAAAAATAAGAAGTCCCTCTACGGTGACATGCAATGACCTCCAAGATAGATTGTTAGGTGAAGACACGAGGTTTGAAACAGTGTTAGTATAGCATGATTCTGTTTGTGTGATTTTTAAAAGATGCTACCAGAGCGTGCACATTGTGCATAGGCTATTTCTGGAATGATACACTGGTAACTGTGGCTGTCCCCAGGGAGGAACTCAGTGGCTTCAAGACAATGGTAGGAGTGAGACTTTCCATAGAATATTCTTTGATACTTTTTCTTTTTCCTGAAAACATGTTCCTGTGCTACCGAGTCAAGTAAGTACATTATTTAAAGTGGGAAAGGAATTTAGGGTAACAGATAGGCCAGGAAATGAAGCGAGAAAACATTGTGATCAGAAACTGGTGGTCTCCTCCTCGCTGGGTCACAGCCCCTCTCCACCCACCAGCCTCCCCCCTGTTCTAACTTTGTACATCCCTGGAGAGTAACCCGCCCAGTCAGTTCCAGAGAATTTATTTCTGATCTGGATGGTGGTTAAGGGAGAGGTTTCATGTGTTGTTTGCAAGCTCTAGAGAGGAAATGAAATCTTGAGGTGGAGGAAGGGGAAGGGGGAGGAACTGAGTGACTGGGTCAAGAAACTCTCAAGCCATTGCCCACTTCCCGCTGCCTAGAATGTGTCCATTTGAGAACCCAGCCTTTCCTAAATGTCCAGGTCTCCTAAAACATGATTGTTTAAGTGTGCATCACCATGGTTGTATAGCTTGTACTTTCTCTGGTCATTAGATTTTGGATCATTCAAATCTGCTCCCCTTCAGCATACACACTGTTTTTTTTAAAGTTTACCACTTTTTTTCTTTCCAATCTGCCCTTTTCTCCAGCCTGTCTCATTTCCCTGGACTTCCTCAGAATCCTGTACAAAACTAAAGTGAAAAAAGACAACTAATAGATGAAGCTTGTGTTAGAAGCCCTAACGTTCCCTTGCTGTTCTCTCTCCTCTACCCTTAGCACCCCCATCTGTGGGGTTTTGGTGGCCAGGAGACCTGTGGCATGAACAGGAGATAACTTGTTTTCCCTGAATGCTTTGATGCAGCCAGATGCTTCAGGCTGATGGGATTTTCCCACTTCCCAGAGTGATGCTCAAGACTCAGCCCCTTAATTCATCTTCATCAGAGCCCTGAGCTTTGAGTTCTCATGGCTCAGTAATGTTGGCTCCTCAGCTCTGGTGAGGAAAGCATTTGAGCCAAGTGAACGCCATGTTCATAAAAGCAGCTACCATGGATGATTGCTTGAACAAATGAATATCATTCCACTGGGTCACATTTCCTGGGCCCTTCAGGTTCAATCCCCAGCATGACACTGTTTTAAATTCCATGTGAGTCTATTCAGATTTATGTGCATTCGGTATTCACTATGGAGAAGGGCATTTTTCGGAGAAGCAAGCACATCCATGGGGTAGAAATGCCCCTAAATGTGTGAGGTGAACAAGATAGCCACCCTCTTGCCTTTAGAGCTAAGTCACCTGGACCAATGAGGATCTAATCCTGCCTTTAAACATCTTCATCCTATGACTGCTGAGGCCACTTGTCCCTGTTCCTCCTGGGAGTATATGTTGGATGGAGAAGGACGAGTTGGAAGGATGTGGGCAAGAGGGAAAAATAAACCAGTGCTCTGTCCTAAGACTTTCTTCTGTAGCCCCTGACTGCTTCTTTCCCTGTCTAGCTGAAATATCAGCTCTGAAGATGCCTGCATTTTCTAACCCTTTTTCCTAGCACACAACTGCACTGTCAGTTTAGCAATATAAAGTGTTTTCATCAGGTGTTTCATTCTTCTCACTCCTGTGCAGCTCTTTGTAGCAGGTGGGGATTTGTATGCAGGGCATACACATTTGTATGTGGGCCCCTCATAAGGGCATGCACCTCCTGCTGCGCTCCAGGCCCATTTCCCAGCACTTTCACATGGGGGCCGTCCTTCAGCCCATTCCCTCAGGAGTGCTGCTCTCTGCTAGAGTGGCAGCTGAGTCAAGGAAAGACTGGTCTTCCCCTCCCCCAATGTAATGCCCCAGATCATAATCAAAGGTCTCTGGAGGAAATCAATTTTGTCCTTTGCACATTGTCACACTGTTGAAGAAAAGGACATAAATGCAGTTATTCTTAGTAAAACTAAAATCACTTGAGAGCATAACTGAATTGTTAGCCTCTTTTTGCTAGTATGCATTTTTCTCAACCTAAGGATTCTAATAGAACCACTGTGAGGTGGAGATCCTTGATGTTTTGTTTTCTTAATGTTAAAGGGGATCAAGGGGGTTAGAATTCACTAATTTCTGCCTCAGTCTACACCTGAGAGAGCAAAGGGCCAGGCCCAGAGAAGTTCAGTGACGTTGCCAAAGAAAGACGAGTAGCTAGAGGGTAGGTTGGCCAGGAACTGGAACCTGGATCTCGGAGCCCTGAGACAGGGCTGCACACAGCTGTGGCTGGACCTGTGACCCTGGAGACCCAGTGTCCGCAGCTGCAAAGGGAGGATGAAGCCTTTGGGATGCCCCACATCCTAGGGGTGCTGCAAGATCATGCTGGTAAAGCCCTTTGCAGCCTGGTCAGTCCAGCACAAACAGTAGGCTAGTGCTCAGGGCAGGGCAGCTGTTTATATTGTCTAAAGGGTGGGGGGTGGGCAAACTGCCCTGAGCCTCTACACCCCTCTTTCGAGGAGACAGACATGTGTGAAGCCACTTCTAGCTGGGTTTTCTTGGCCCTTATTCTCTGCCCACGAGTTGTTGCCTTGTTCTCCTCACCAACATCTCAACTCCAGCCCAGTTTCCCTCCCCCACCCATGAGAAATGCCATATAGTGGCAATAGCAGCTGAGCCTGGGAGATGAGGCAGCTCAGGGGGCTTAAAGGGAAATAGTGTGAATGAAATAATCACCCTGCGGGAGTCTTCCTGGCTCCGGGGATCAGTTGGCAATTGTTTTTTTAGACTGTGATAACAGCCTCTGAAGGGTGGGGAGGGAGGAAGTAGAAGTTGTTCAGGAGCATCTGGTCCTGAGCCACACAAAACGTCAGGTGCCCCAGGCTCGGGGCACAGCTGTCCAGCCCTGCTCTCTGTGTGCAGGCTCGGCTGGCCCTGAAGTTCAGGAAGGAAAATCTCTCTCCCTAGAGAAGATGCTCTTTGGCCAAATGCTACTGAGGGTGCAGGTAGGAAAGGTGGGAGGGCAAAGGCCAAGGGGGTTCAGAAGCTCCCATTCTCCTGGACTTTGCTCCTTTAGTGAGCCCAGCAGCTCATCAACCTGCTTAACCCCCTTTAAAGTCATCAGCCAATATAATGAGCTGCAGAGCGAGGCCTGGGGTGGGGGTGGGGCTGGGGTCACAGGCATTAGGAGTCAGCCTCTTTTTCCTTTGGAGTTCCATAGCCAACAGCTCAAATTCCCCACTCTCCCAATCCCCTGGGATTCCGGGCATTATGCAGGATGGTAAGAAGGGGTTCTTTGGGATGCCCCACTCTACAGAGGGGGGACCTGTTCCACCAACAGCTGGGTTGGTCCCAGGCCTCTTCCTGTCCTCTCCATCACTTTTCCAGGGAGCAGTAACAAGTATATGTCTCTTCTGTCTCATCTCACCTGGCCCTCTAGCTCTCAGGTTCAATGAAACTTGGGGGGCGGGATGGTCCCCCGCCCTCCAGAGGCCATGTAGCCTGCTGGCCCTCAAGCCTGCCTGTGCCTCAGAAACACCTGGCAAATTTAAAATACAAAAATAAACAGATTTCCAGGCCCACATCCCAGCTCTGGTGAATAAGAATCTCCTGGGTAGGTCCCTGGAAATCCATACTTTTAACAAGTTACCAAGGTGATTCGAGATGTAAGCTGTCCACAGAACCATGTGGGAGACCCATGGTTTTTAATGCATGCTGTATGTCCATGCAAACCCACCCAGAATGAGAGATGTTAGCACTAAAGACTATGGGGCAGAGGCCACCTGGTGAACCCGTTCTCGTATTTCATAGACCTCCTCTGTTGGGATGACCCCACTGGGATCCAGTGCCAATTCTGGATCTATTTCTTTACATCCTGATCCTTGGTTTATCCTCCAAGGGGCAGTAGATCCGCCCTCCACACCCTCCCCAGAAATAACTTTGATATTTTTTGAGGACTGCTCTGAGGTCTTCCTTTTTAGCTTGCTTATTTCTGTCAAAGGAACTATCCATTTCTTCAGCTTCATAGGGATGTTTACCCAGCCATGTTTTGGAATAAGCCAAATGATGGGCCAAGGGCTACAGGAACAGAGGTTTTGGTCAATGTGCTTAGAAGTTGGTTACATTAACCCAAGTGCCAGCATTGGCGTTCGCAGGGGTGACTATGGGGTTGGGGATGGGAATGGGTGGGACCTGGTACCTGTCTAAAGCATATAATGGGGAGGCTGCTTCTCCAGTCTGTGTGATCGGAGACAAGAGGATTGAAAACCCTAGCGCAGAATCTCAGCACACTGATGAGGATGAAAACAGCCTCCCATTCCACTCCTGCTGTGCATTAGGCCGGTGTCTTGCAGGGCGAGTGCCTGCAGGGCAAGCAGCACACCCAGGCAGAGAGACAGGCTTGCTCTCGGGGCCTTGCCAATGCAGGGAATCACACCTGCCCACAGGCCTGGATGCCATAATGCGGGTTTTCCTCTGGCCCACGAGCTCCCTGAGCTGTGGTTTCTGTTTAATCACACAGGCTCCATCTGGCAGGTGGGAACAGAAGCAGCACAGAGCAGAGGACAATCACCCATGAGGCTGAAGAAGCAAAAGCTGCAATGCCCTTCCCTTGCACAGCTCCTTTCTCAGCCTTTCCTTTCCCGTGTAGATAAATAGTCACTTCTCTACTCAGAATTTAGTATTATTTTCTTCAAATGTGTAAGCAGCAAGCCTTGTAAACCTGGCACTTTCCTGGCCCGGTGAACTCACCGTTGCATACAATCTTCCTTCACTGTTCATGGCAATGAAGAGGGCACTTCTCACTCCAAAGAGACTCACCACGCCTCGCTCCACAGTGGAAATTTCCAGCAAGCCTGACAAGGAAACGGGAGCCACATTACCTAAGGCTCGTGCAAATCAGACTGGGAAATTGAGCCAACAAGGGCATCCCAGTCCATCCCCCTTCTCCTAGAAAGTCAGACTCTCTGTCACCCCTTCCATGATCCCTCTAAATCGAGGAGACCCTGGCTGCTGGACTCATCAAGTGCTGCCATGGTGCTGTTAAAAGTCCACTTCTGCAAGGGAAAGTTCTGATGTCAGAGTTAGGGACTGCAATGACCACTTAGTTATCTATTTAAGATGAGCTTTGAATTTGGTCTTTCAATGACAAAATTACTTGAGGTCTTTGACTTGGGTAAAAAAATAAATTCTCATTATCATTATTCTTAATGTGTACTCTACATGTTTCAGCAAATCTCAACCCACCTAATCTTGAAAACACAGCAGCCAGACCATGGCCAATGGCTTTCTTGGATCCTGCAGCCCCCATCCTTTCTTGGATAGGAGACTAACCATACAGCAACTTGTCAGCTTGCAGGGTAAGAACCTGGAGACAGAGGGAGCTCACTGCAGTAAAAAGAAGGATGTGCTTCAGTTGGACATTTTGCAATTGAATTTCCTTTTCTTCTCCAAGAGGGAAGCTGAACAAAAATGAGCTTGTGTCTAATTTGATCCCAGTATACTAACTCATTCTCCCTACCCCTGCCTTGGGGGCTTCCCAGACTTATGGTTCCCAGTGGTCTTACAAGGCATCAGATGGGCCGGTAATGTTGCAGTAGTTACTGCCACTGAGGATCTAACCAAGATGATAGCAAATAACACCAGGATGCTTGGACCCCAGTATATCGAACGTGCACCCAGGCAGAGTCCCACACAGTCATCTAAGTGGTGAGCAGCGTTTCTGTCCCCTTTATAGTGCATCGTGTCCACTAGAGCAAGGCACCTTCACCTTTTAGTCCTGCATGAGCCCAAGCCCCCAAGCATCCCAACTGGCTGCAGCTGGCACTCACTGTAGGGGGTCTCCTTGTGGGTCCCGCTGATCCGGCCGTCGGGGGGCACCTGGAGGTGAAAGCCGATGCCCACGTTGCAGTAGAGCCTCCGCTGCCGCTTGATCCCCACCAGGTAGCCACTTTCCCAATTTACCCTGGTGATCTCTCCAGCTAGCCCCGTGTGAGACCTGGACAGCAGGGTGCCCCAGCCTCTCGAGTCCAGCTGCGTGTTGTTGGCACGGGAGCCTGCAGGCAAGGATACTACCATGCCCACTAGGATGCCTAGGAAGATGAGAGCCCACAGCGTGCCCTGAAGACGTCCTGCTCCCTGGGACATAGTGATGAACAGCCTCTGTCCCAGGGCCATCCACCTTGCCTCTCAGGCACGTGGTCAGAATTAATGGCCCTAAAAATACCGCCCTTCTTGTTTTTCTCCCTCCCGCATGGCGGCAGGGGCTTATTTTTGGAAGGCAGACGAAGGCTGCTGACATGAAACCAAAGCCTGCATCGGGCACTCGGGTTGAGAGCAGAGGGACCCAGGCTGAGCCGCGGCCGGTAGAGACCATGGCTCGGGGACGCTCTCTAGCTCACCCGCTCGCTCCGTGTTGATGATATTTGATTTGACCTATCTTTATAGTTGGTTCAGCAGCCCGGCCCTCCCCTCCACCCATCATCACCCTGACGTCAACCCACCCAGCTCACCTATCCAGGGCTGTAACATTAACCTCTCTTGGGCCTGGCTGCCTCCCCAGACCCCCATCAGCTTCCACACTCCCCAGGGGTTCTGGCAGCTATATGCCATTCCAACTATGAGGGAGGAATGAAGTGAACAGGGATCATCTCTAGGGTAGTGGGGAGCTGGCTAGGGGCCCGGGGAAAGAGAGAGGTGAGAGGCCACCCAGGATCCATACTGGGCAGAAGTTCTCGGCCTGGCAGCACTGGCTCCTTATTTAGAGGGAAATAGGTAGAGGCAGGGATGGGAGAAGGCTTGTGGTGGTGTGACCATAGCCTGAAAGTCACCCTTGGGACCTTTTCATGGAAACAGCTCATGGTGGAGGGGAACACTGAAAGGCCAAACCCTTTCAGCAGGAGGGCACAAAAATTCTCAGGTCGTGGGAGTGGGGGTTGTCCAAGGAGCTTTAAGATTGTGGAGGGAGTTGCCGGGTACGGTGGCTCACACCTCTAATCCCAGCACTTTGGGAGACTGAGGCAGGCAGGTCACCTGAGGTCAGGAGTTCAAGACCAGCCTGGCCAACATGGTGAAACCCCATCTCTACTAAAAATACAATAATTAGCCAGGCGTGGTGGTGGGTGCCTGTAATCCCTACTCAGGATGCTGAGATATGAGAATAGCTTGAACCTGGGAGGTGGAGGTTGCAGTGAGCCAAGATCCTGCCATTGCACTCCAGGCTGGGCGACAGAGCGAGACTCTGTCTCAAAACAAACAACAAAAGATCTTGATTTTGGAGGGAGGGAGGGCAAGGGCAAGGTTTGCCTGCTCACTGTCTTGGTTGCAGCATTCACCCGGGGTGGGTGGAAGTTGTGTCTGGCCTTTGACATAGCCCACTGGCCATTCTCCTCCCTGGATTTTTCCGTGGCATGTGACTGATATTATTCCCATTTCACAGATGAGGAAGCTAAGGCTTAGAGAGATTAAGTAACTTGCCCAAGTTACCACAGCTAATAAGTAGCAAAGCCAGAACTCCTAGGGTCTGCCTGAGACTAAAGCCTGTGCGTGTTTGATGCTTGCAGTAGAAGTTGGCTGGCCCAAAGAGTCTATTTAGCTCCTGAAATGCCAATAGCACATCACAGAGTTATTTCAGTAGCATAAAATGATTCATTTGTTAAAAGAAAAAAAAGAACTTGAGTGTCTTTGATGTACATGGGAACGTCTGTATTTGCAGATAACTTTTGCTGGGCTGATATTACACCCAGAAACTAGTAAAAGTATTTCTGCCAGGAAGTTATTCCTACGCTCATTTTTCTTTTCCCCATATTACTTTTAAATAGATTACATGTCTAACTGAAGTAAAAAAAATGTTAAGCTACCAAAAAACCTACCCCACAAATTGCTATAGGATATAAAAAGGAACTATTAATATCTCTGAGGGTGAAAAAGTTAACAAGGGTCACCTGGGGAATTGAGTTTAACATCCTGTTTCTTATACTTCAATCCAGGTCTGAATCTGTTGGTGAGACATTGGCACTGATCATGCAGGGATTGGTAGGAGTATGTGAGGTGATATACTGCAGGCAGCCTGGAAAAGCTGCTGGGGCAAGTTTCATGGCCCAAGGACTCTACTGAGGCATTAAACCTTCTGCTGTGCCCTGGGTTCCAGCCACCGGCCTATGGCTTCTACCTGCCTTCTCTCTGCCCTTCTGCCCATTCACTGGGTTTGATGCTTGGATCAAATTTCTGTCGAGCCATGTAATTCAGTGTTGCCCTAGACATGCCTTCTCAGATCCTGTGAAACCCAGACATCTATTTTTACCCTCAGCTGGTAAAGTGAATGGAGAGGGCCATAGGCGCCCCTTATTCCTACTCTCACCACGGTGCCCCCAGCTTCCCCATTGGTTTCCTCTACCCACTGGGCCATTGCCCCATACCCAATCTCATCACCACCAGCACTGCCATTTCCCAAAAGGAAAGATGATGCTTCATGGGCTCAGATTGGGTCTTCCGTGTAGGCCTTCATTGGAAAATTGTTTTTTAAAAAAATCTTTCTGCAAAGTAAGAGGTTCATGAATAATCCAAAGAGAAAGTTGTCCACAAAAAGAACTTTACTTTGGATTTCCTGCTGGGTTTCATATACTTAAGCTTTCATGGATGCAAGAGCAGTGGGGACACTTTCTCAGCGATGTTGTATGGAATCTTGTGGTAATGATGCTGGTGGTCCTCACTTAGGGAAGAGACAGTCCAGAAACATTTTGGATGGTAAGAAGTCAGTCCAAAATTAACACTTGCCTTGGATAATTGGAGAGGTACTCACCAGCAGAGCTCAGAATCTCTGGAATTTCTTGGTACCCATCCACTTTGGAACTGTCTTAGGAGAGGAACTATAACAATGTCCATGCCATATACCAATAAAAATAGTGAAGCTTCCTAGATTCACCTCATCCTAGATTCCTTGGTGTGCAGGGGTTGTGGTTGATAAAGTCTCATAAAGGAACACTTTGGAATGGGGATACCTGGATATGAATCTCAACTCCACCATTCATTAGCTGTGTGATCTTGGGAAAGTTCTGGACCTCTCTGAGCTTCTTTATTTTGTCATCTGCAAAATGAGATCATTACTTCCAAAGGTTGTTATAGTGACAAGCAATAATAGATGCAACTGGCCCAGTGCAGAACACAGCACAGCAATTTCCCAGAACTTTATCCGAAACACATTGAAAATCTCTCACCCATTTAAAGAGGACAAATCCAAAGTCAGAAAGACCATCTCTCATCTCAGGGGGTGGGAGAGACACGTGGGCTTCCAGTTCTTCATTGCCATCCGCCAGAGCATATGTTGTGATGGCTGCTAACATATGCAGAAGCAGGCAGCCCAGATTCCTCAAATGTTCTGAAAAGCAGTGAGAGCCTTGGTGTCGTCCCCTGTTAAATATAAAACTTAAGTAATTCATGCTATTAAAAACCCTGGGTCTTATTTTTATTGGGTGAAGCGATGAGGCCGTGTTCTAAATGCACCTCCTCTGCCTGTCTCTATAGTAACTTTACTGTGCTCATATAGCCATATATTTTCCTGAAGGCTAATTAAGTTGACAACTGCTAGGTCTTCTTGGCTTACCAGATTTGCACTTGACCCTTCTCTTGGGGCTTAGGGACCTCTATGGATGTGAAGTGATAGAGAAAAGATAACAGGTGGAGGAGGCCTCTCTCCATGGACCCCTCTTGCAAATAGTTGGCCAACAGCCTTTGGGGATTGTCAATCAGTCTCACCGGATGTGCCAAGATCCAGTGGAGGTGAGTGGGAAAATATGTTAATGTCTGTCTCCTTCCACAGAAGGGTCCTTGACCCCAAGGGGGATGCCACGAAGCATAGATTGGTTGGATTTGGCAGTGCTTAGCCACACAAACCTTTCGATTCATCTGCATGATGGAACTCCCTCCGTCATACCAGGTGGTTGCTCTCTGTGACTCCTGTGTATTACATAATCAAGATCAAACACCCGAGGGGTGACCAGAAGGGAAAGCACAGAAAACTCAGACGAGCCTCATCCATGTAGATTGTGAAAAGCTGTGCTTACTCGTATCTTTTACATTTGGTTTTGAAAAACTGGCATTTGCCTTTTTTTGTAGATAATTTAGAAAATATGGAAAATGATAAGGTGGAAAACAGAAGAGTTGTTTGTACTTAGTGTCTTTCTATCTTTTGTCTCAGAGTCTGTCTTTGTATGAGCTTGGCACAGCGGCCTTGATGCCTCCCTGTATCTCCTCTGAATTTTGCTCAGACAGGCACCTCTGTACCTATCCCTGTTTTTGTTTTTTTTTTTTAGTGGTAGAGATTGTGCATGGGATTTAATCAGCATGAGATGGACGCGTGTAGAGATGAGGATCTAGGAAGGACTCCTGCCCTAGGCCTGAGCAAAGAGGGACATTTGCAGCTCTGAAACTTCAAGAGAAAAAGTTTCAGCTGATCAACGGTGTCCAGGTTGGACTTCTGCAAGGACAATCCTGCTATTATCTTGTTAACTATTCCCTGGAGAAACCTAAACTTTGTACTTTCCTAGTAGAACTCAGCTTTTCCCAAGCCTCACCCACTTACACAGTAGGAGCCATTAACAGTCATAATCCACATTTCCCTAGTTCATGCTTCTTTCAACTCATGTGGAATCTCACTCCACTACCAATCACCCCAGAGATATTCCTGCAGTTCCAGAGCATGTCTCACACATGTTCATGAACACATGATTGCTCCTGTGTGGGCACACTGCCAGGCACCTGTGTGGATCACCCTGTTCTCCAGCCTTTCCACCTCCTGCTGGGCAGCCCAGGGGTATTCCCTTTCTCACTACAGCTCAGCACCTGAAGCCCTCAAGGAGCCAGAGCTGCTTTATATTCTGTTTCAAAGCCAGTAGGAATGCCTTAGTCCCCTTCTTCATGTTATACCTGTTAAAAAAAAATACCTGACCAGAACTACTCATGCCCTGTGATCTGCTCATTTGAAGTTTTTTTCAGACTCCCTGCCCTGCAAAGGACTCAGTCTTGTTATGGGTTGAGCTGATCAGGTAGGATTCCCATTTTCTTCCATGTAGATTATTTTTCTGAAAGTCCCTCAACCCCTCAGGCAAATAGACTTCTGCTGGGGCCAGCCCATCTGCATTGTTTAGATGTGTCTGGATCCTGGCTTGAGTTCAGACTGGAAACCCTGCCCCACTCCCAGAGACCCCTACAATGGGGAGGGAGGGAGTCCCTGAAAACACAGCTTTGTGGTCCAGTTGGTCACCAAGTATTTGCAGAGTTTTCTGGGAGGAAGGATATGATTCTCCTCTCCACACTAGAAATCATCTTCTTGTGTTAAAGTGCTTCTTATCTATCCCTTCAATCTGAGTCCCATTGTGGCTGTGCCTCTCAGGGTGACTTCCTATCTCCTAGCACTGTCTTTCTTCTCTGTCTCACTCACACTCTCCCCTCCCCCCTCCTTACTATGCTCCAGCCATAGATGCAAGCCTAGAGGCTCAGCCAACTGCCAAGAAAGCAGCACCTCAGGGCTGGCTGACCACCATGGCCACACATCTCAGCTGAATTTGCAAAGGGTCAGAGGAGTCGGATAACTTTCTGGAAGCTCTGAACCTAAGGGATTTTGGCTCTGCTCAGAGTTTTGTGGTTTCTCAGATTTGCCTTTCGTGATCATCATCTAATAATACCTGCTGCATGCTGAGGCGGGCATGCACCCTGCCAGCCACCAAGCAAAGTTATGTAAAAGACTCACCCCTTAGTGGCAGGCTCCCCAGTGTGACACAGAAGGGCCTCCCTGTCCTGACCTCTCCTGGCCTCTCCAGCTCCATCCGCTGCCTCTCCCTCTCTGGGAATTTTTGCTTCAGCAACCTTAAATGGCCTGTTGTTCCCAGGCATACTGTGTGCTGTTTCTGCCTCCTGTTTTTGCTCAAACTGTCCTCTCTTTGCCTGGTGAATTGCTTCCCTGTTTAAAGACTCAGCTTAAATGTCACCTCCAGAAGTAATCCCTGACAACCTTCCACCTGTCTCTAAACTGGATTCAGTGGCCTGTTCCCCTCCCCTTTCCCTGCCTCATTAATATTTTGCACGGTTATCTCTGTCACTGCCCTTACTGGGTTTATAATACTCTGACAAGGTGCTGACTTTGATAGTGAAATTCTTAAGCCTTCAATGGCATCTTCCCTTGTATGCCATTGTATATTCAGAACCAAGCACCATGCCTGCCAGGCAATACAGTTTATGAAATGTTTGAATAAATGTTGAATTAAAGGCTTTAAATACACGGATTTCACTAGATGAGTTATTCTCAAACAAGGTCCAAGTCCACCATAGAGGAGTGATCAGAATTTTGGTAGGAGTGGGATATTAATTTGAAAAAACACTTTCAGTATAATGATTTGCATTTTGTCATTTGAAACAATTACATTGAAAAATTCTGCTTTCACTATGATGCAGAAACTTGTGTTGGTCTTGTACTCTCATAATAAACAACAAGAACACTGGACAAATAAATGAAGCAGCAATTTTTAAACACTGGATAACAGGAAGCACAGGACTATGATCCCTGAAAGAAAAGGAGACAAATAAGATGGACCCCATGATCATCTCCTCTCTCTGCCTGGAGGCACTCTCCAGACCTCAGAGCAGGAAAGGAGAATCCACGCTGAGTACAGGGGTGCCCATGAGTGGAGGGTTCAGAGATTGAAGTTAGGTGAGACCAAGGCAGTCAGTTTTCAGGGCAGAGTGCCAAAGCAGAGGAAGCGGCACAGAGAAAGAGCAGCAGAAATCGGTATAGGTTTGCTCTTGTGTTTGTTGCTGAAAGCTAAGCCACACAAGTATGGAGGAAACTCCATGAAACTAGGAAAAGCACTGGCAGAAAACAGTAAGGTGAGCAATCCCGAGAGCTCACATGGGGAATCGTTCAGACCAGCTGGTGGAGAAAACTAGGTCTTCTCAGTGGAGAATATTCAGTAGAGACCCCAGAAAGGCCATGTCTTGGTAATAGGGATACACAGGCTCTGCAAGAACTAGATTTATTCTCTTGCCCCAAATAATAAAACACTGAAAAAATACATCAAAGAACAGTTTCAAAACATTAGACATCAGGCAACAAAGAACAGTGATGCTTGAGAAATGAGAAGCTGAAATGAATCCTACGTGTCTACCAGCTTACTGATTTAAGAGAGTTTTCAGGTATGGCTCGGGGGGGAGAATTCTTGTTGGATTCTGGAAAACACTATGAATTGAGGAGATGAAGCTGACTGAGAAAGACTAAGGCAAAGAAGGCTTCAGGAAAGGGTAGCAGAGAGGAAAGAGCTGCACAAAAAAGAACCTAGATATGCATTGAGGAACCCCCTCAAGTGGTAGCACATGTGTACACTACCTGAGGCTGGAGAAGGAACTAGGCAAAAAGATTAGAGGGAGCAGTATCTGGAGCTCATACAAGACTGCAAACAGTACCTGTTCCCACCAGCCAGACTGAGGAAAATATTCTCATTCCTGGGGTGTTGGGTTGACTGTTGCCTCATTAGTGGGAAATAATTATCCTTAGACCAAATGCTGCTCTGATCCCACCTAACAAATATTATAAGCAAACATAAAAAGGATCAATCTGTTATCAAGTATATTAAATAGACTCTAGGAAAAAAATTCAAGAATATTTATAGAAATAAAATACATCCAGCCCTGAACAGGGCAAAATTTACATATTAAATTGACATATAATAAAAAAATGCCAGTCATGCAGAGAGGTAGGATAATATGAGTCATAATGAGGAGGATAATAATAAAGTTGAAACCAACCCGGAATTAACACAGATGTTAGAATTAGCAGACATGAAAACAGTTATTATAACTGTATATGTTCAAAAAGTTAAAGGAAAGATAAAAAATGTTAATTAGAGACATGGAAGAGGTGAAAAAGATCCAAATCAAACTTCTGAAGCTAAAAAGTACAATGCTTGAGATGAAAAATACACTGGATGGGGTTAAAGACAGGTTGGACATTACAGAAGAAAACATTAGTGAAAGTGAAAACATAACCATAGAAACTTTTCAACATGAATCACGGAGAAGAAATAATCTAAAAAATGAACAGAACAGACTTCTGGGTTATGGGCTGATATGTAAGTAGCTTGAAAGTTGTCATTCCATCCTAAGAGCATGTAAAAGCCCAAACACGCTAAAAAATAATCAACACTTTTTCTCAGATTTGTTAGAGAAATGATGTCAAAGGGCAAGCTGTTGCTTGAAAAACTAGAGAGACAGACAGGCGAATACAAAGAATTACAACTTGCTGGAGCAGAAACCTGGGAGCTGAAACCTCCAAGGAAACCAGAGCTAGGGTAGGAAAACCCAAGCAGTAATTGATGGATTGTTGGAGGCTTAGTGAATAAGACTGAGAGATTAAAA